ATGTCGTACTATTAATGTAAACAAATAATATTGGTGCCAATATACTTTAATATAGGTGTATTTTGTTTTAAGGCACAGACAGATATTTTAACTTGTTTTGAGGAAAAATAAATAAATAAATCACTACACTAATGTTTTAAAATCTGGGGTCAGTATGATTTTTTCTTTAAAAAAATGCATATTTTTATTCAGTAAGTATGCATAAATACACTGACAATTTTACAAATGATTTCTATTTTAAATAAATGCTGTTCTTTTGCACTTTCTATTCATCAAAAAATACTGAAATAAGAAATGTATCATGCTTTCCACAAAAATATTAAGTAGCAAAAATGGTTTTCAAAGTTGATACTATATATAATAAATGTATAATAATAAATCAATATATATTGATAAACATATAATAAATATTTATTTAGCAGCAAATCATATTAGAATGGTTTCTAAAGGATCATGTGACACTGAAGACTGGAGTAATGATGCTGAAAATTTAGCTTTGCATCACTGGAATAAATTACATTTTAAAATATATTCAAATAGAAAACCATTATTTTAAATTGTACTGTATTTTTGATCTAATAAATGCAGCCTTAGTGAGCATTTCAAAAAATATACATTTCAAAATAACAATATACTGGCAAATCTTTTTAACAAGAGTGTATAAAAATAAAATGTATCTTGTTTTTGGCATGTCTAGATATTCTAACTGGGGGAAAAAAAAAAACAACACTGATTAAGTACATTTTTCTTTGCAGTGTAGGGCCAAGCAACAGACTTCCCAAAGCAAGAATGGGTGGGTGAGATGAGAAAAGAGAGGGTAAAATGAAAGATGAATAAAGAGGGAATGGAACGAAGGGCATCTGAAAAGCTGCAGGCACATGGACGGCTGTGATTGAGCTGAGAGAAAACAGCAAAAGATAGTGACCGTCCTTGTTTAGCTTGTCAGAGAGAAGGATGGAGGGCTAAATTGCTTTCCCTTTCAAAAGAACAGAAGAGCAAAAAGACTGGGTAGACTTCAATTAAGGCCTTTTTTAATCTACCTCACACACACACACACACACACAGACTTTTTATACTACTGCAGAGCAGGCATCTCAATTGGTAAATCCAGAGAAACCACTGAAGGGAATCGTGAGGCACAGAGACAACATTTTTTTTCATTCAATGAAAGCATGGACGCTGTCAAGCTCCAAAAATGACCAAAAAGTAGAGTTAAAAACATTTTGTCTTTTTGTGTTCAATGGATGAAAAAACAGTAGAGCTAAGAGTAAAGAATAAGTCTGATAAACTGGTACTCCTTGGGATCTAAAATGACCGCATTGGAAACAAATGGAAAGCAAATTTCATCTAGTAAAGACGTTTGCCACTGCACCCACAGTGACAACAAAATCTTACTGAAAGCTCATTTTTTAAAATATCAACCTCAAATTTGGAACACAGCTTGTTTAGATTTATGGCATTGATTTTCTTGCAGTTTTAGAGTAAAACATGTTTTGAAAAAATATGTATTTCATATAAAATTTGAAAACAGTATTTTTGTGCATTTTTCATGACAACCAACTTAAACATCTACTTTTTTGCATTTCCTTTTTTTTCCCCACTTCAGCAATAATTTGTCAAGTGTCTTCTTTAAAAAGAGACTTAAATCTGTGCTCCAAAGCATTTGGATTTACAAGATTTACAACAGATTAAAGGTTATTCGGCCCGAATCAGTTTTCTAAAGTGTTTTTGAAAAATCACATACCCTGCCTTTAAGTTGGAAATTTCATTTTCAGGTCTATGCTGATTAACAGGTAATAAATCGATTATAACTACTGCATAAATAGAATTAAGAATGATAAAATAAATCCCCTAAAATTGCACAATATTAAATACAACTAAAATACAGTATATTCATTTCATCAAAGTAAAAGAAAATTATAAAATAAAAAATAAAATAAAAAATGCACCAGAGGGTTAAGCTCCTTTCTGATGTTTTTGCTAAAAGTTTGTAGTGTTTTTAAGCTAAAGTAATGATGACGCTCTAGTAAGACATCTTGGGGAGTTTTCTAGGTTTGTAGGTTAAGGATACAAACTCACTCGGCTAAATTTGTTTAACATGTTTGCATGCGGCTGTCATAAACACCCAGTGGTACTGCTCTTGTTGCATTATGGTGCAAAAAAGCAGGCTGAATCAAAATGACAATTAAGAGTCTCTCACATGACACAGCCCTGATAATTAATTCAGATTCATATGGACCGAGTGTCTGCTTTCCCTTCCAAATCACCCAGAGCCCACACGATCAATACGTTCACACATGCTAAAGTACGACTGCTGTGACAGCAGAAAGGGGAATCATGGCATAGCACATACTTTGTATAATCAATAGCACATCTCTAAGTCTCCAGAGAGCATTACACGCACACATACACAGACTGGGATGATGAATTAAATATGGGCTGCTGAAGAAGCAGCCGACCTCTGACCTCTGGGTGAGGGACGGGGTGAGCAGGCGTGAAAGGTAATCGCAGAGACAGAGGGGAACAATCGGCCATTCGAGCTCAAGATGCGTGCGTGAGCCTTTTTAGTAGGAGTGGCCGGATGAGGTCTGCGAGGATTTGGGGATTTTAGGGATTTCTTTAGGAGAAAAGGAGAGGGGGGCTAATGGAAAGATAGACGTATTAGAGAAAGACGGATGTGGGTGCGCTGGAGGGGGCAGCTGTGAGAATTCGCCAAATGGTGTGAATGAATCATGAACGCAGTCAATAGTGCGTGTGAAGGACGAGCAGGGTTAAACCTCCACATGTGACCCAAAAGAGAGAATGAAGTGAGGAGAAAAGAGGATAAGAGGAAGAAAACGCAAAAGAAACGGAGAGAGACAAAACCACTCCATTCAGCAAAACAAAATATCTCACAGTTTAAATAGAGAGGGGAAAAAATTATGCCAGAAAAGAACTATAATATACAATGAATGAACGAACGAACGAATTAATGAATAAGCAAGTAAGTAAATAAATAAATAAAATTAGTATAATAATATACATTATCTGAAATAAATGTGAGTGGTGCTTATCCATGAAAAACATGTCACCACAAAGTGGAAAACTTACTAGAAAAAATAAACAAATAAAATTTAATTTAATAAAATATTTTTAAATAAATAAATGCGAGTAGTGTTTATCCATTGAAAATATGCCACCACGAAGTGACAAAGTTAATATAAATAAATAAATAAAATTAGTATAATAATATATATATATATTAACTGTAATAAATGTGAGTGGTGTTTATCCATGACAAAAATGCCACCACGAAGTGATAAAGTTAATGGAAAAAATAAACAAATAAAATGTAATGTATGTAAACAAATAAATAAAAGTGAGTAGTCATTATCCATGAAAAACATCACCACAAAGCAACAAAGTTAATAGACAAAATAAAATTTATAAAATTGAATATATAAAATATATACAAATATATAAAATTAAATAAATAAATGAAATCAAATTTATTTATTTGCTTACTTAATTTATTTAAACTGTGCTTGTCCATGAAAGACACCACAAATGGACAAAAAATAATATTCATTAAAAATTAAATTAATTAAAAATATTAACATAAATCAAATAAAATTGTACAGTATCTATACTAGGTGTGAGTGGTGCTTGTCCATGAAAAACATTCCACCACGAAGTGACAAAGTTTGATACTTGGTGTTTGTTGAAATCCTTCAGCTTGAGCAGTAGTAATGGGAATGCTTGCCTCAGCAAACCACACTAATTAGAGGAATATGGCTGTCTGTAGCATGATGAGCTAATGGATTTCCTCTCACTACATTTCCTGTCCATCACTGTCAGACGCGTGTGTCATACGCCCGCGTGGGTGTGCGTGTGTGGCCTCCGCTGACCATCTGAGGATGGTACTTTTATTATTAATTTTAAAGCACAGCTGGTCGAACGGACAGACAGAGACAGAGAGAGAGAGAGAGGCTTCTGGGATATCATAGAAACATTTCTGCCTATATAACATAGCTCACTCCAGTTATTGTTACTAGTTAGTAAAATCATATTAAATTACATTTTTAGACCATCTTTAAACAATGAACTTTCAGAATTTAAATTTATTTTTAATATACAATTTAATTTTTAATGTACTTAACTTATTTTAATTTACAATTACATTTTTAATTTGCTTAATTTATTTTAATTTACAATTGAATAAGACTAAATTAATTGCTAAATTACATCTGATTTTGATGTTGCATAGTAACATGAACTGAAATGATTTTAGTCCAATGAGATTTCAGTGTGGGTGGGGCAATACCGGTTATACTGATTAGGAAAAAAAAAACTTGCTCACACTGATAAAATCAGCAAGTCGCTGTGCTATCGGGCTAACAGACGTTTCTATTTGACAACAGCAACAGAACGAACAAGCACCCGTGTATCACTTTCTACAGAAGCTCAATGAGAAATACACTCTGACAGCACACAATCTCTTGTGCCCTTATTGAGAGTTCAACGAAAGCTTTATATTTCTCTGCAGGTTGAGCAGTGCTGCGGCTGTCATTACAGTAGCCCTCTCTCCTCCGGACCATATTTAGACCAATTCAGAGGTGCTTTTTTCCTTTAAGTGGACCCATTATGTCATTAAGTCCTTCTAAATGTGAACTGCAGAGTGAAATGCGCATGCCGATTGCGACGAGGGTTTCGCTTTGTGCCTTTTGGTAGGGAGATAAAGAAGTGTGTGCTTGTGTGTGACGTTGATCTCTTCATTTCAGCATTCAGACACGGCACCTGTAGTACAAACATATTTTACGGCGTATTTCAGAGCTAATCTGAAAGCATTTAGTCACTCATTCTCTAGTAAGCTGTTGCTGAAGGGTGAATAGAAGGAGGTTTCGGTTTAAAGTGCTTTTCTAGAAATCAAAGACACACCGTAAGTGTTTTAACACAGTGTGAGCAGTTCTGCAGGTCATGTATTGATGCAAACACACTCACACACACACACACACACTCACCCCTGACGAAGGGTACGCCGTCCACCCGAGCTCTGCTGTGGCGGTCCGGGTGTCCATTAATGTTTCTGAAAAGCACACAAAACAAAGTTTTATGAGGAATCATGAAAATGTATGTTGCAGGTATTCATTTAGAACTGTGGTATCTTAACAGAGAAAACTGAACTGGGTGTTTCAGATAAGGGAGGAATGCACAATAGAGGGCAGGAATGAAAAGCATTGCTCTAGAATTCAAACTCTCCGCAGTGCCACTTTTGCACCACAGTGGCCCTGTGTTTCTGAAGATGGATAGAGGATAAGCTGTCTGTGTCCTTAAAGTGGTCAGCTCTTGTCTGACCTTATCAAGGGAGATATCTTTGACCAGCCGGGAGAATAATCCACATACACACACTCCACCAAACACTGATAAGATGGTTGAAAGCGATAGAGAACCTGGATTGATACCTGACTTTAACATCACTGACCATCAAAGATAACATCAAACCATCAAAACACAAAATTCAACAAAACAGGTGCCATTTGTGTCCCTTATACCTACAGTATGTGCATAAAAAAAAAATTATAATAATAGCTGATGTCAGTTTTTACAGAAATTTTTCAATAGAACAAAATAAATAAATAAAATAAAATGTATTCTTTAGTAACTTTGTTCTGTTTTTTTTCTCATGGAGATGAAATTTAACATCATAGAACATTCAAGGGATCCACACAAAATGTCAGGTTTTTTTTGTTTTTTTTACAAAATAACTAAAAATAATACTTTTATTTTTAGCAGTTCTCCCTCACTCTCTCTCTCGCTCTTATTTAATGAACATATATTTTTGGTCTGTCCTCATGTCAATGTCAGTGAAAAAGTGTATGTACAGTATGTATTTATTTACTTATTCTAACTAAATAAGTTTCTTCATTTCATTAAGATTTTTGGTCTTTCTTCTTGTTTCCAATTTCTCCTTGCCATAATAGCTAAATGCACAACGTCAAAGTATTTTTCTTCCTTTAAAATAATGAACTATTCCATAATTTTAAATAAATAAATATTCTGAAATATGATCACTTAAGAGTAGATAGATACTACAAATATTAGCATCAAATTCTCTTCCCAAGAGGTACAGCTCATATGAAATAATCAGATCTCAGTGAATCTCAGTGAATATTTTATATCATCCAAAGACTTTCTTTAATCACTTTATCAAACTGAAAACCAATGGAACCTCAAAAGCACCCTTTTCATTGAGTAACCAATTTGTATTCAGTCTGCAATATTGTTTTATGCTCCTTTTTGCAAGCATGAGTAATGGCTCTGAAAAGTAAACTGCACATGTCAGTATGATGACCTTCACTTCAGTTCTGCTGCGCTGTGGGGGCTTCCTGCACTATGACATCGTTAAAGTAGCACAACAAGTTTCTGAAGTCAAACCACATCAGTGTAAACAGATCTACATCCAACTCCTAAACCAACCAACAGCCATTCTCCTTCTACCCTTCCCTCTGGGTCCGTCACACACACACACACACACACACACACATGTCTGGTTTGCTATCCTTGTGGGGACTCTCCATAGGCGTAATGGTTTTTCTACTGTCGCTCTGAACAATTATACTTTTAAGCAGTGTATTAGTAGTTAGTTTGTATGCTACACTCTAAGAAAAGCCTGTAAAAATAGTCTACTATGTTAATATGATTTTTCACAGGTTTTTTTTACCTGTATTTTAAATTACGCATTGTATTTTGTGTTTTCGGGTTATAGAGTTACAACGGATAATGGATAATGGATAATGTCCTGGAAAATTACTAGTACCCTTTCCATTTTTCTAGATATTTTTCTTATAGTGTACTAACTGAACAACAATCACAGGTACAAGCTACTAAAAAGGTGTATCACAATAGGTGTGTTCGTCTTGAAGCGGCGCTGCGCAGTTCGATCAGTGTTTGACATCAAAGCACCGCGAGAGCAATTAGAAAGCATGCAGATCCGTTGAATTATTGTTGAACAATTGCAAATAGCATTTAACTTAAGTCACGTGATGTGTGTACTACTAGGCATCTTTGGTTTTCCTCTTTTTGTGTAATTTAGATGGAAAATGTGTGCCTTTTTTATCGTTTGAGTCACTTATCAAAAGTTGCTAAATGTTGCCAAATAAATTGTAAAAAATAGCTACATTTGTTGCTAGGTGCTTTTGGAAGAAAACGTTGCTAGGGTAGTCTGAAAAGTTGCTAAATCTAGCAACAAAATTGCTAAGTTGGCAACACTGGGAGCTGCTTGGAAAGTTACAAAAAATGTCGTGCACACCGCCACGCGAAACGACGTCGTGCGCACTCAAAGCAAACTTCCGCCAACACCGCGATGATGTCATATTTGCCGCGCGCACCTAAGCGAACTTGCGGACGCATCGAGTATAAATCAGCCTTAAATCAGCCTTGAGCGTGTGTGCGTTAGATACAGTGAAGACAGCGCGTTAGTTTAGAACTCTTCTAATTTTTTTTTTTAATTGTAGAGAGTGTTAATTTGTGCAATGATAACCTACCAGCAATGTAAATGATTTTTTAAAAATATATTAGAATGCGTTTTATCGTATCGTGACTTTGCTGGTGATACACAGCCCTAACACACACACACACACACACACACACACACTGGGATGGTTGTAAGTAACACCTGATGTCACAGGAGAGAGAAAAGATGAAGAATATCCACTCTTTCCACAAAACACAATCCGACGCTACGCACCGGAAGCCAACTGTCATTTCCACTCTCCTCTCACTCTCTGCATCCCTCACATCTCCATCTCTCTGGAGTTAATCATACACTCTTCTCCTTTGACGTTTCTCTATATTTCAAGAGGAAGAAAGAGAAGATGAAGTAAGAAAGCCTCGCTCTCTTTCAGATAGATGAGGAGAAGCAGATGACAAGCACTCGAGCCTCCCGCTGATGGATTCATAACATGATGTATAATTCTGCGATAACGTGACACTCTCCTCCCCAGCCGTCAATAACTCACCGCTGGCTGATCGAGAAAACACAGACTCACTCGTATGAATGGTAACGCATATTGTCAAACGCTTCAGGAAAGCATCAATAAGGCTCATAAAGTTTTTATCCGAGTCAGTGGCAGCCGGTAATGCCCAGTTAACTTCCTCAAACACAACAAATCCAATTCAAATCAGCGTTCCTCTGTCTAACCATGTTTATTCTCTGTATGCAGGCAAAATTTCAAAGCCCTGAGCTGCATACTTGGGATTTTAGACTCATATTCAATGGTTCCAACTGGTAGACAGCAAAATAATACTATCTTTTAAGGCACGAGTGTAATGAAAACAATTTAAAATAATAATTAATAATTAATGAAAATAATTAAAACAGACCCCACAGTGCACTGCAAGCTCAGTCAAGAGTCGAGATGAATATTTTATTCAGTACTAAAAAATACTGTTCAAAATTTGGAGTTATTAATTAATAAAAAAAATTAAATAAGTCTCTTTAATACAGTATTATTTTGAAGTGTTATTACAATTTTAAATCAGGTATTTAAATATATTAATAGCATATTTTTATGACAAACATTGCTCAGTCAAACCCTACCCATAATTCAAACTTGCATAGGGGAGCTAATTTTCATGAAAATAAAATAAAATTAAATTAAATTAAATTAAATAGTAAAGTCAACTAAAGTAAAATAAAGTAAATAAAAATAAAGCAAAGTAAAGTAAAATGAAATGAAATAAAATAAAAATAAAAATAAAATAAAATAAAATAAAATAAAATAAAATAAAATAAAATAAAAATAACTCAAAAGCTACTTAAATATTTCAATAATATTAAATTAAAATAGCATGCCAAGCCACAACATACTTAAAATTAAAAAATAAATAAATAATATAAATAAAATATAAAATACTTAGTCACAAGCTACTTCAAATAAATATTTCAATTAAATTAAATTAAAATATCATGCCAAGCTCAAACTACTTGAAAAATAAAGTTAATTTAAAATAATAATAAAATAAATAAATAAGCATCACAAGCTACTTAAATATTTAAATGAACATAAATTAAAATAGCACGTAAAGTCACAAGATACTTAAAAAGTATAAAATTAAATTTTAAAAACTTGCGAGAAAAAGATTACATTAACACGACTGATTCTGTTGTTATTGATCGGTGATGATTGATGAAGCCTGTTGAAGATGTTGGAGATAATAAGCAGAAGATCAATCATTCATTGATTGATTATGACATAACTGGGAGAGCGGAGAGTTAGGAGCCAATCAGAGACACTCTTTACAGCTGTGGGCAGGGCATGGAGTGATTATTGGAGATACTGAATGCCTGGACTGAAAAAATGCACACACAAACACAATACAACACACACACTGTGGTTCTGCTCTGTTATTAAACACACACAGCATAATTCAATTGCTCTAAATAGCACAGGCTGTGCGGTTCCTCCAGCAGCTGGTGTCTCAGAGGAGACAGACCTCTGTACATTACTTCCCTCAGGAGATACATCCTCCCCCTGAGAAATCACTCTCATCCGGCGTGTGTGAGGGGAACGGGCCGCTGGTTCAGAGCTTAATGCTTTTTGAGGTCATATCAGCTTCCAGCTCATTAATATGCAACACGTGGCCTATAACAAATTAGCATAATGGCACAAAGGGATCATGGAATCTTGTTAGGATGCAAAACGCCAACAAAGAGATACAAAACAGAGCCCACCAGAGAAAGCAGAGAGTAGGAAGGTGCGAGCACACTGAGTAGATCAAATATTTCATGACATATACGTATATATATATATATATATATATATGTCACAAATATATATAAGCAATATTAGCAACAAAAAAAGCTAAAGTACATTAAAGCATTTAAATGAGCAAAATCTTTGTAAATATATTTGTTATCATACAATTAATGATGTATATTACAAATAAAATAAAAAATAAATTAAATAAACAAATAATAATAATAATAATAATAATAACATAAAGCACCAGTTTTTGGTTAAATAAGCAGTGCAAAGTCTGCAAACATTTACAAAATACAGAGCTTAATGCTTTTTGAGGTCATAT